GCAGAGACACTCAAGAACACGCCTAACTCTAAGCATATGAGTGGCCCTACGGACATCAGTGGGGTTGCTAATGTGCCTAAAGTTCAATATGTATCGACTGCTGTGCTGGAATGGGACCAAGGACTCAGAAACTTGCAGGATCAAGGTTTGGCCAAAGAACAGAGAGTATAACAGGAGACAAAAGCTGAGAGATACTGCGTTGCTCTCATGCCCTCTTGCGTCAGTCCTTCAAGGAAGTGAGCCCTGGAATAAATCCCTTAATATGGTAAGAGGAATACCTGCACAGAAAGCTGAAATGCTGAAAGATCCTGTAAACACTCATTTTGCAGCACACAGTGTCTTTGCTTTTTAGATGGCATTACATTTTAAAGCAGATATAGTGATGTCACTGCAGGAAAACATTGCAAAAACATTGCAACAAGAGGATTTCTTTCAACAGAGGCCTGGTTGACTCACTCTCACAGCTGCAGCAAAGTAGTCCAATGTGTTTCTGGAGAGCATTCTTGCTTGTGAAGTCTTTATTGGGACACTCTGACTGCAGGGAAATGCAGCCGCTTTTCATTTCTTGTGGCAGTCAGAAAGTTTCATTGAATATTTCTGAGCTCTCAATCTCTTCCAAAACACATGCTGAATTTCCTGGCTCTCTTCCTTAAAATCTGGTCTGGGTTTATACCCCTGTCACCTCTCAAATTACTTTATGAGCACATATATTAAAATAATAATAACAAATTAAAGCATTCTGATTTTTTCAAAATTGATTTTTAATTATTTTTTTCAAACTTTGTGAATTTTTTTATGTGCAGACGTTTTTATATTTGAATTATCTGTATTCTGAATTTATCACTGGAATACAGCAAAGTTGAAGTAGAAAGATTTGTCCATTTGCTATTAGTAATGCAACACTGCCAACTAGAGGCACTGGTAATGATCAAATTTTTGTCATGTGGACCACATGGATAAACTTAAATGGATTGCATACCTATAAATATTAAAAGATCATATTTACACTAGAGAAATCCCACCCAAGTCCTTCAACTACAGTCATACTTACATGCCATTTCCTTCAGTATGTCATTTACTGAATCCAAGCACCACATCACATCATCCAGAAACTCAAATAAAGTCAGGTCAGGTAGCAAATTACTTTGGGTTCCTCAAAGAGTTATGGAGGAACTCTTTTAACTCCATTTAAACAGCTTTTGGAAATACACCTCCACAAGACAGGGTGAGTATCAAAGAAAAAAATAAAATAAATAAAAAATTATAATTGTGACTTTCACAGCAAAATAAATTCTAGATATTTTCTCAACTCATGATTTCAATAAGGCTTCTTAGTTTATTATTTCTAAAGATATCATAGTCTATTCAGGTAGTCCTCAAACACAATTTTTGTATAGGTTTTAAGCTCTGTAAAGTGGCATACACTTTGAGGACAGTGTTTGTTCACAGCTGAAGGAGCAATATTGAAAATAGAGAAACGTGACCCTGACCAGAAAGCTCAGCTACCACGGTCCAGCGTGGTTCCCTGACGTGTGTGTGGCTGTTAATTCGCTGTGTGAGAGCGGCCAGTGCGGAGCTGTCGGTGTTTGTGCCCCAACACAGCACAGGGATGCCTGTGCCCAGCAGTGCTGCCCCCCTGTTCCCTGCCATGCCTGAGATGCTCAGGCACAGCAGCCCAGAGCTGCCCAGAGCGCAGCAAGAAGGAGCTGGAAGGGAGCAGGACAGGGACCTTCTGCAGGTCCTCATGCCAGCCCAGGTCCAGCAAAGCCTTGGGGAAGACCCACGGGCACGGAGTGCGCCGTACCCCTGTTCTGGGCTGGCAGTGTGTGCTCTGGGGTGTGCCAGCAGCTTGGGAGGCCAGAGCACCTTCCCAGGCATCCTCTGGCATGGTTAGAACCACACTGTGAGAGAAAGATCTGGTGGTAGAAGGGCAGGTCCTGCCTGCCAGGGCTCTCGCAGCATTAAATAAACAGCCCAGCACAGTTTGTACTTTTGGAGTGAAGGAAGGAGCCAACAACATCTAGTGCTGGTTTCCTTTTATTTACCAAAACACATTTATTCCGTAAATCTCAGCAAAATTCATGAAAAATAATAAATTACTTTTTTCCCCCTACAGTCTTCAAAGCTTTGTATCTATAAAAAGTTCTGGGAAATCTGAGAAGCCTAGAGGGCAGGAAAATAATCTTGTTGAGAAGTGGGAGCCAATAGACAGTAGTGACTCATGGAGGCACAGAGCTGCAGAGCAGCGGAGAGCGAGGTGTCAATGAAGCCTGGAACCAAGTTTTCCAGGGGCTGCAGCACAGGGCAATTTAAGGATGGAGGGACCTGTTTCCAAAAAATGCAGAGAAAACCTTGGAGGGGTTGGAGGTGGCAGTACTGGAAGAAGTTGGAGGCATGGAAGTGAAAACATGGACATTGGCCTGAGAAGCAGAGAACACTGTTTGCAGCCAGTACAAACCACTGTAGAAACTAATTCAATAAATCCTTTTCCTGTTATATTATTGTCCTTATGTTCCATAACAATTTCTTTACAGGAATACAAAGCTAAAAAGGTGCAATGGTCAAGCAAAAGCAAACAACTGGCATGCAGATAACATTGGAGTAGTTTGTTCACTGGAGCAGTACCTAGAGCTCTGCTTTTAGGGGAGGGGGTGGGGAGAAAAGTACATCTGCTGTGAATCAGCTTGTAATACCAGTAAGAATTATTTCCACAATTATGACTGTTTCGAAAGACACACACACAGAAACAAACCACCATGTCATATCTAGATTTCCTTAAATTACTTTATTGAAATTATCCAGAAATTGATTTTTGGCTGTCAGTCAAGACCTAAGCCAAATGGATACTTGCAGAGTTTTTCCACTTATTTCTTTTACTGTTTGGCAGTGAAAGCTAATGATCAGCACCCTAAGAGTAGTTCTCTTCTCTGTTACTGTGTGCTGTGTGAATGTGCACTGAGGTCCAGACTCAGTCCACACCAAATACCTGTGTTAGGAACCAGAATTACCTCCCACCCATGAAAATATGTGTTCTGCAAAGTTTTCTCATATTGTTTAATGTAAAATTTGTTTTGGCATTTGTGGTGGTGCATCTTCCCCCTCCAGGCCACACACTGACCTCTTTTTGTGATCTCCTAATTAGTTGTGCATTGATTTGCAGAGGCACACTCATCACATGTAAAAATCTTTGGCAGAATTGCCAATAGAGGTTGCAGGAATGATGCTGAATCGCAGCTGTCACAGGAGCTGTGATCTCATCCCTTGCTCACAGAGAAGCTAAGGCAGAGTTGGAGAGAGTAAGAACTTCATCAGCAACCTCATTAGCGCAGCATTCTGTAAAGCAAAATTTACAAGTCAGTTTCACTTATCATAGATAGGCTACACATATGAATACTTACCTAGATCAGCTGCTGCATGACTCACACAAAAGCAGCAGCTTGGGATTCCAAGTGCCAGTTATACTGAAACATCATTCTCTCTCTAGAAGTCTGTCTTTTTCACAAACTTCAATGCTGCCTTATTCTGCCCTACTTTTAGATGGTTATTACATTTTCTAATTTTGACTTAGATATAACAGTGTATGCACAGTAAACCCATAGTTATATCTCCAAAACTAATCTTTAGAGCAGAGGAGAAAAATGGAAAGACTTTCCACCACCATTACCCTGGAGACTAAGCTGGCCGAGCTCAATGAGTGGGAGCACACACCAGTTCAATGAGTGAGAGCAGAAGTGTGTGCTGTACACTGCAGAGATTGAATATTTGGCTGGTAACTGCTGCTGCACAGGTCGGTGGTTTGACTGCCAGGCAGCACAGATTGTGCCTGGGATGGAGCTCTGGCTTCACACTCCGTTCGTGTGAGGATGCTGAACACATGCAGAAGAAATCAAGGACAGGCAGCTGGTAAGAACCACTTAGCAAGCAGTCACTGAATAGGAATACTGAAGGCATCCAGCTTGGTTTCATAAATTATCACGGTCATTTTCTTTCAGCATTAAACCTTAACAACATCTTTTTGACCAGGGCTGCCAACCCCTCTGGCGAAATTGACAAAGGCTGAAATTCTGACCTTCAAAAATAGAGTCAGATTGCTGAACATGATCCTGCTAAAGGGAACTTGCAGGTAGCTCAGCACTAATTTCAGTCTATTTGATTGAATGTCTACCCCTTTACACCTTACAATAATAAACCTATGCCATGAAAAGCACAATACCTCAGAGCTTCAGAACACAATATCTCAAAATTACTTCCATAACTTTGGAAAAATTCAATATTTCTAAGAAATGTAATCATACAGTCCATATAAACAAATACATGTAAGAAGAAGCAAAAGAGGATTGCTTCTAATTCCCCTGCAAAAACTATTCAAGGAGAAGGAAAAAGGTGATCCAGTTCATTCCTTCTTTGTGCAAAGGTGATGAATAAAGGACTTTGCTTGTATTCATCAAGTTTAGTAAAATTATATCAAGCATCATGTCCAAAAAAGTAGATATTTTTAAACTACAACTCCCAGGAGCAATAATCAGGTAGTTTAAACCATAGTTTTTAAATAAATAATTTTATATCCCTCTAAAAAAAAATAAAGTTTGCTTTATTTGTTAATTACACTTCTCTACACAAAGTAACCCTTGTGTCTTCCTATTAGGTTCATTCCTATCTTCAAGCACCAGTGAACTCTGCCATTCTCTGGGAACAAAAGCACCTCCAGTTCCAGCTTTCATCAGTGGTTTCTTTTTTCACTGGACATAAGCCAGACTCAAACTGTTTGAGGGGGGAAGTAGCAGACACACACAAGCCACTATTTATTTCCATTCCTCATACAAGACACCTGATACAAGCCAAGATGAAGAGAAATGCAAGGATTCAGTGTACAAGCATGGGAACTTGCAAGAGAGAAAGTTGGAGGCATGGCAGAAAAGGAAGGGGGAGGGTGGAAACACATTATTTTGGTTTTCAGCTCAAAGGTTCCTCTCATTTTTTCCCAGGTGAATGTGCTGTTGTTGCTACACAGAGACCTGGGCAGCTCAGGTGTTCTGTGCTTAAATCACTGACTTTTAGCTAACAAATTCCAGAAAAAGGACCTTCAATCAGGAGAATTGGCCGCTGCTGGTGAGCATGTATTTCTCATTCTTAACTCTCCTTTAGTAAAGCAATGAGGTTTGGTTCACAAATGCCTTACAAGGCTAGTTATACAAAAAGACAAATGATAGACGCATAGAGATTAGCTAGCAAATGTTTGTTCTGGCAGGGAATTGAAGGCAATATATGTGGTGTTGGCTGTCCTTTTTTCCTCTGAATCAATTAAATAACATTGGATCATGTAGCATCAAAAATACGGAATATTAAATTTAAACTGCCTGCAGCTGCATTTCCAAAGCCCTCTTGATTTTCACTGGAATAATAATGAATTATTAAGCTTCAGATGTTTTACATGTGATTTAAAGAGATTAACATTTTGATTTATTTTTTTATGAATGCACCATGAAAGACTATTTCTTACTATAAAATGACAATTCCTTTTTTTCCTAGCTCTTGCATATTTTAATGTACAACTTTTCTCCAGCCACCTGAATACGATGAATTTCTGTAATTCAGATTGCCAGTTATTAGAAATGGAGTTTTAATTTGTTCACAAGAGATTTAACTGCTAACAGTGATTCTGTGATAAGAAAAGATCTATTAAAACAGTACTTCTCATACCTCTCGGTCCTAAAAAGTATGAAGCATTTTCTTTTGCAAGTGCTCAGGGTTGCAATACCATACTAATGTAAATTATAAATACAAGTAGAGATTTTCTTTATCACTATAAATATATATATTTATATAAAATATATAAATATAATTTAATGTATTATATTGTAATAATTTAATTACTATATTAAATTATATTAAGTTATTGTTAAAATATATTATTTAATAAGTTAATTAACTATTATAACTTTAATTTAATTAATTAATTCAATGATTGATTTATTTATTATTAAGTTGTAATAATCTAATTTTTATATTAAATTAATTAAATTATCTTTAAATTAGTAATAATTATAATATGTTGAGCTATTATATATTAATATATTTATAATAAATATATTATGTAAAATATAAATATTGATATATAAAATATATATCTTGAAGGGTCGTTGTTATTACTGTTCCTTTGGTTTGGGGTTTTTTTATTTAAGTTGAAATAATTTCTCAGTGAGGCATCCTGGTAGCTCCTAAAGCTCAGCCTCTGAAAAGTGGAATTTCCAGCAAGATGACTGGGTGGTATCCTGGCCTACATGCATTACATTTTTTAACTCAGTTGAAACTATCTGATATCCACCTGAATATCAGATCTTTAATGCCTAAAAGTGATTGTACTGGCAGCAAGTAGACTTATCAATTAAAAGCAATTTGGTTTTGTAACGCTTTTTCTCAACTCTTGCCTTTGTTCTCTGACTTTTATCAAGGTCAGCAGTTACTGAATTTCTTATAATGATCTTGGTGAGGAAGAGACTACTGAACCAGACAGAAACACAGATGAATTGTTTTATTCACTAAGAGTTGTGTTGAAATTCAGTGTAAAAGATGAAGAATGGGAAAAATTTTAATGGAGACTTAAAAAATTACTGCAATTTCAACATTTTGGATGGATTTGACATTTAAAGAATATTATACTCAGAGCAAATACTTGCCAATCTTTCTACTTAATTAAGTAGCATATTATGAGACATCTTTTGACAAAAAAACTCCAGCATAAAAGGAAGTAAAAACCCCATGCTGTTATGTTTCACTGAAATTAAAAAGCCTGGAGCAGTGTCTTGAAATTGTTGTCATCAAGTATCACAAAACTGTTCATGAGAATCACATGAGAACAGTACCCTGCAGACTAATTTTTACTGCTGAAAGTAGCATTGCAAGTAAAATTAAACACCTCCAGTTTGTATTTTCCTCACAAAGGCAAGCATGTCCAAAAATAACCAAAAGTGTCTCTGAAGTACAGATTGTTAAGATGCCACTAACATATTGATCTACTCTGAACCATGTGACAAATCCATGTGACTAAAGCTTCTGAAGTTTCTTTGTTTTCCAGTTTTCTTGCATTGGAAGGGAAATAATGCTCCATTCTACCTTGGCCTTGTCCCTCCTGCTAATTGCAGTCACTTCCAACCTTGCAATGGCAATTAAAAAGGAAAAAAGAGCACCTCAGACACTATCAAGAGGTATTGTAAGTTCACTAAATGTAGTTGCCTCCTTACCCCACCATATAGACCAGCAAATACTTTTATTTTGAATGTAGATGTATAGAATGTGTATCTGTACATATGCACACACATGTATGTTTATAAAACATACATAGAATGCATATATATACTTACTGAGGTGTGTTTTCTTTAGTGTTAAGTGATGTTCTAATTAATACATGTTCTAATTTCACATCATTTGACTCCATCAGTTTTTTCTTAAGGATACAACTGAGGGCCTCATATAACCTGCATAAATTCATATAACTCACAGTGATCTAACAGAAGCAAATAACCTAACCTGAGTCTCTCAAATCAAGATGTACATGTAGGACTATCAGTGAAAAAATATTCTTTCATTGACTGTTTGAAATCTGTTTTATTATTGCAATCTATCATAACATCAATTGCTATGGAAAAAATTTTCTACAGACTTATTTTTGTACACAGAACGGTTTGAACCACTGGTGGGGTTTTCTGCACTTTTTTTTTGCTTTTCTTCAGATGTCCACTGCAAAGCATGACTGTGTGTAATTCATTTCCCTGTGGTGCATCATTTTCAACTTGTTAAATTGTTAAATAATGTTAGAAATTAAGATCCTGTTTTAATTTATTTATATCTGATCAATCCTTAGAAATACAAGCAGAAAAATAACTTAGCAAGCTTTTTCCCTTCCCCATCTTTCTTCTCCTTTTGGGACTAATCAAGAAAAAAAAAATAAAAAAATCTCCATTTCCCTTCCTAACCTCTTCTGCAGGCTGTACAAAGCCTGCAGATCCCACAGCTCACCTCTGAGTTTTCCCTATCCTGGCAAAGTTGCACATCTCTCAGAGGTTCCATTTAGCCTAATAGCTCAGAGACAACTTGACAAAATCATGGACCACCTGGACTAGCCTAAGAGAAACTTCAGAACACTTTTTGTAAGCAGAAACCCTGGGAAAATATTATTATCAGTTCGGGATTTATTTCCCAGTTTGCCTTGATCAGGATTTATTTTATCCCAGTAAGCCTAAATGGACAAAAAAAAAAAGATAACAAAATCATTTATATTATGTCTGTTTTGGAAAAAAAAACAAAACCAAAAGCAAGCTAACTACAAAGCAGTCACAGAAAACAGATGTAGCTTTTCTAATGCTGATTTCAGGCCTATTGGGATGCCAGTTCCAGGGCTGGGAAGGCACTGGTCAGCATCAGCCAGACAGACCTGTGTACTGAAAGCAGACATGACCTTGGAGCATCACAAGCAATTGTCCTGTGAGAAGTCCAACAGCAAATCTGGGTTGGTCCAAGCACTGTCCAGACAGCACAGAAGAAACAGAACTATAACCTGGTCCAGGTCCAGAAATTGTTCTACAATTCCCATGAGAGTTCTCATGAATGGAGTAACACTGCCTAGGATGCAGGTTCTGCTGTGCAAGGGTTGCCTCCTTGGGACCTGAAGGCACAAAACCAAGTCAACAATCTGATTTTTGAGGTTTGCATATCCCCAGCTATGGATGAGCTATGCAGCTGATGTTTGTTAGGATTTGTTTCAGTAGAGGTTTTTATTTAACAGACATTCCTTTACTGGATTATTTAATTAAATGAGGGGCCTGCAACTTCAGGGATTGAAGTGATTTTGGAGTTATTTCTATACTCCAAGACTATTCCAATGACATCCATATTCAAGCTGATCTTATTTGAGCTGTCATATTTTATTTTTCTCTCATTATATGCCAACTTCTCTTTAAGTCCCAGAGTCTACATGAAATACTGAGCAGACAATAAGAAAATACAAAGGACTTGGGGGCCGATTTAGGGACCTCTGAGGATTTAGAAAGATAACTAACAAGTCTATCAAAGGACTTGAACTGAATATGCAACCAGCTGTGATTTTTGGGGGCATTAGGTTGTATGGTTGAGGTTTTTTAACATTTTAGTGTACCTATCAGGAGATGTGAAATTAGCATATCCACAATGTTAGAGAACCTTTGACTAAAAACTCCAAATTTATTTGTATACAGAAGCTGATAGATGTAAAGATAAAAGAAAAAAGATAAAAAACTGAATTTGTTATGAGTTTCTTGCCTGGCCAGAAGCTAGTCCTTCTATTTTATTTCTAGGGTGGGGAGATGAAATTACTTGGGTACAGACTTATGAAGAAGGGCTTTATCAGGCAAAGAAAAGGTAAGAGATTAAAAATTAGTATGAAGACAAAGTTGTTATACTGTCTTTCTGGAATATATAATAATGAGACAGAACAGAGAAACACCATGAGAGCTGATCTGCAGGCCACCCAGCTAAATAAAACAGACTCTGTCTATAAACAAAAAGACTTGCAGGACTCTTATGACTCTGAAGTAACATCATGGGCCAATAATGTAATGCTGTCATTTCTTTGCCACAAAAGAGGTGTTGTCATTTTAATTATCAGTCATAAATAGATACCGTAATTTTTTTAACTACATCTATTGTGTTTTAATATCATGTACTGCTGATCACTTCCTTGAAATCTGTTACATTTACTTTTGCATGATGATCTACTGCCTTTGATGTTCCCCCCAACACTTTATTAGCTGGAATATGTTCATGGTATATTTTCTCACTATCTTGATAGAAATAGAAGTTCCAAACTCAGTCTTCTCTGAGACTCAGCTGCAAATATATTTGAGAATTCATAACAATACCTATTTAAATATCTTTTACAGGTCATTGTAGATCACAATAGTGTAGCATGAACTATTGAAGGCAAATTATTAAATTGAAGGCAAATTATTTGTAAAACACAAGGCAATTTCATGTACCCTATGTGAAAATGGTTAGAAATCAACTCCTGACATTGAAAGCAGACCAAGCATTAGTAACTGACCTGCTGAACAGTAAATATAGTTTAAAAGAATGTGGGAGAAAATGCACAGAATTTATGTTTTGACATCCAAAATATAAAATTTTAAAACTTTGTCAAACTATTTACAGAAAAGAGGTAATATACTATATACATGTTCAAGAAAGCTTAAAACACAAGTAACTTTTCATGGAAAATATTTGATGTTAAATTCAATCTTATAAAATCTATTTTATTCCAGTTCATATATATTACTTTTATTTTCTTAATCCTGGGCAAATTCACACCTAAGCAACATTAAATACCTACTTTGTCTAATTACTTACTATCTGGAAATGAAATTATGGTGGGTCTGTTGTTTCTTTCTTCTAGAATCTCTTACTATAGACAGCTTATTTAGATGTAGAAACTCTGTTTCTCTATTTCTTCCTTTATGAAGTGTTTATGCTCTTTTCCCTTGCTCAGAAATTTCTGTAATATTTTATAGAATGTCTTTCTGGTTTTACTGTGGGTTAACATAAGATTAAATACAATTTGCCATTTTCAGTCTGCTTGTAAAATCACCCATCTGAATACATGTCAAATGACTTAACTACATCTTTTATTATTATTAATAAAGTAACAAGCCGCTGATGGTAATTCATCATTTGGAAGACTGTCAATACTGCCAAGGTAATTTTGATTTTTTGTGTGTTAAAATCCTGTGAATATTTTTATAAGAAACTGAACCTATCTATATATTTACATTGCACTTACTGAAAATTATTCAGAGAAAGAGGTAAATGAAAATGTAGCTGAAAATTGAAAAATTTATTACCATTATTTACAAAAACTCCATTATGAAAATATGCAATAAAGAATATGAAAAATTCTCACTGCTGCTGTACTGCTATTCCAAATGCAGCACTCAGTCTAAATTAAAGGGCACAAATTGGCTACTGACTCATTGAACAAATTTAATATTGTTTAGCCCTCCTGAAATGGTAACTGAAGAAGGAGGCAAAGACAGGACTGCTGAAATTGAACTAACAAGAATTTTCTGAGAATAATGCACTTTTGTCAAGCCAGGACATGGTATCCATTGAGACAACAGGCTTCATAAATAACTGAAGAGAGCTTCCATTTTCATAGCCAGAGGTTGTAGTGCCATAGGCCAAAAAGCCCCCAAAAGCAGTGATAGAGCCCTTAAGTGTCTCCTCAGGAATGTGACTCAGCGGACAGGAACAATGTGGCCCAGTCTCTGGCCAATGTGGTCCCAAGCACAGACAGAAGGGCAGCGTTTGAGATGGATTTCAAAGTGATCCTGTCTTTTCTAGCACTGAAGAAAGCTTTCGCAGAAAATGAAGAAATACAGGAAATGGCCCAAAATAACTTCATTATGCTGAATCTCATGGTATGAAGGGTTTGGGGATATTTTACTGGTATCATTTCATGGTCTGTGTTTTCTCTGTCCTGTTTTTTCATGTTGTTTTCAATAATATATCTGACATTTTAGTTATTTAAGTAGAGGCATTTGTGCATGTGTATTCACACACGAGTAGTACCTTTTTGGTTTTGTCTTCTAGTACCAGGTTATTCATAGGTGGTGTTATTTCAGCAAAATTTACAGAAACGTTTTAACAACTAGCCTTAATTTTTATACCAGCATGAAACCACAGATAAAAACCTGTCACCTGATGGACAATATGTGCCTCGAATCATGTTTGTAGGTATGTAAAATATTTATGTATCATCAAAGTTGTTATACCTGAATTATGCCACTGTCATCCTGTGGGGACATCAAAAGGATTCATTTTGCCAAAAGAAAATCTCTCTGCCTCAGTTGTATACTTTGACTCTTGTAAACTTCCTCTAGTTACAGATATGTCCTGGAGGGTACTAATTTGGACTTGAGAGCAAGATGTTTAGAAGTCTGTTAATATCTGGGCTTCTGCTCTCAGTGCTAGTGCTGTTACAAGACAAAGTTCACTGAAAATGTCAAATATCTGACAGAATGTAGATGGCTATAAAGTGGACATTATCACAGAATACATCAATAGCCAGTGACATCTAGGGATTTATTCCATTGTAAAGCTGACTCCTGGAATGGCCAAATTAATCATGTCCTAGAGTGTCTGTTCCTTCTGGCTGGCTGTTCAGGGAGCCTGGAGTGGCTAGCTCTGTGGTGGCATTCAAAGTTCAGCCCACACTCAGAAAGACAGCAGTGTAGTTACAGCTATCAGTAAATTAATAAAAAACTTGGAAGGGTAACTGAGAGAAGAGAGGTTCACAACAACTTGTTTCCACTCTGGGAACATTAGGAATCAGAAGATTTTCATTCTGAAGGGTCTAGGTAAGTCATGCTATTTATTGCCATAGATAGGCATGACCTGCGCTATGTGTGCATCTGGTCAGATTAACCTCTTCTGATGTAAACTCAGAACCTGTAAAACAGGATATTTTTCTTTAAATATAAATTAAGTTCACGTGTAACCTAGCATTTAAAAACAACTGTGTAATATAAAAATTAGCTTTTGGTGAGGATTTTTCCAAGAAAACTGCAGTTGTTTGGAGCAGAGCATAATGGCCTCATAATTGCTGTGCTGATGAAATCAGAAACAGGGCTGCCAAAGTAATGCCACCACATCACCCTCAGCTCTTGTGGGAATGGAAGGCAGTGTTTAACCCAAATACTTTTTCAGACCCATCTCTCACAGTAAGAGCTGATATCACGGGAAGATACTCCAACCGGCTTTACACTTACGAACCGCAGGACATGATGTTCCGTAAGTGCCCCTTTGCCCTGTTACACTGCATTTCACATTGCAAGCAGCCAGATACCCCCCATCCTGAGCACTTGTGCTGGAGAATCCATTAGGATCTCAAAGTAAAGAATAAATACCGTGTGAGAGCATTTGCAATAAATTATAATGGTCTAACTTGTTCTAGCAAAACAATCACACGCATTGTCCCATTGAATTTATTGGGACTAGTCAAGCAAGAAAAATTGAAAGGTCATGGGTGAGAACCCTCAGGATCACGATCTGAGCAATTTTATGGAGAATGGTGAAAGTCACTATGCTCAAAAGTATCCGACTGTACAATGTAAATAGCCAGTGGTGGGAGGGAATCTGTAAAGAAATGCAGGTGGTTGTGTCCCTACCCCTAACAGCCACATTTCAGAAAGGAATGTGATTTTTCAGGTTGAGCCAGTTCTTACTCTATGCCATCTATTTGACACCAATTCAGTATCTCACCACAAATACACACATCACATCTGATTACCGGGCTTGCTGTTGAGAAATGAGGGAGTTGAAAGGATTCTTTTCAAATCCCTTAAGTTAAACATTTTGATTCATGAAATTTCTTACTTTCTGTTTTAATATCAATGACATAATTTTCAAAATACAGATCTCTAAAATAAAATGTGTGATAATAAATCAATTTCAGTGTGAATAATTTACTAAATAAAATTAGGTTGCTTATTTTTTTCAGTTGTACAAATGTACTTCTAATCCATTTTCACAGTTCTTATTTCTTTTTCTTTCAGTAATAGAGAACATGAAGAAAGCACTACGCCTCATTCAGACAGAATTGTAACCAGTAACAGTGAAATGACCACAACATCCACGAGGTGAAGCTGCACCTCTCTGTCTCTACTTGCAAACTGAGCTTTTATCAAGCAGATTTTGTATATCAGATTTAAGAAATGTATATGTACAACTTGGAGAACAAAGACAGAAAGACTAAAGCACCCATCTGGAAAACATGAGGAGAAATATATTAAACACTTTGAAATTAATTATCTAAATAACTAAAAATGATGGGTTTAAGTGCAGCAAATTTGAGCTGTATTTTAGCAATCCAACTATGACTCTGTTAGGTCAGCCATGACTTCTGAAGAGGAGTTACAAGCAACTTATTTTTTTTTAATGTCTATTTGCAATGTATTACATGAGTTAATATCTGCATCTTGCCTCTCCATTTTAACTTCTACTGCAAGAAGCTTATTAGTTGTTAATGTACCCCTGCTTTATACAGTCATTTCTTGTTAAAGTAAAGGAAACTTTGCTGTCAAATCAGACTAGAATGCTCATGCTATACATTTTGGAATAGCTTACATAGAAAAAAAAAACAAAAACAAACCACAAACAAACAAAAAAATCACAACAAAAACTAAGCAAAACAAAACAAAAACCATACCCCAGCATTCTGGACTTATCCTTCTGTACACAATCCTTTAACTTTTGTTGTGGTTGCTTAACAGAGAGACTGAGCATGCAGTCCCAGTGAGGTGATAATAATCAAAGGGCAGCTGCACATTTTGCTCCAATAAAGATACAGTGAAGCAAGAGAGATGGAAGGAGATAGACCCAGAACTCCAATCCTGAGGCTAAGTGATGTTTGTAAATTCTGGCATGGGAAAAATGAGAGGGTTATCCTAGCTCTTTGCATTTTAATGGCATTTCAGTCATGGGAAGCTCATCCCAGGTCATTCCCTCCTTTTCTGCAGCATTCCACCATGAAGGTGGCAGCTCACTGAGGGAATCTGGACATACAAAATCTTGGCAAAATTTTCACAGGATTACTGTATGTAAGGGTGGACACCTGCTTTGAATAAAAAGCTGAAGTCAATTGCAATGGTTTATTATCCCAGCAATGTGAGTTTCTGTTAGAGTAAAGTAGTCAGCAATTCACCTCCAGTAGTAGAATGTATTTTATATATAAAGCACCTGTGTCATTTTTTTGTGCCACTGTGCTTGCTGTGATTCTGCCTGTGAACACATAAGAGGTGAGAGAAAGATCTCTGCAGAAAAGCTTTGCTAATTCACAATACCTAGTATTAATATGTCATGAGTGATTTCTATTGCACACATCTGCATTTTAATAATTACATAAAATTTGAATATAAGCATATATTCCAATGGATTGGAGATAAATGACCTGTACACTAAGAGAAAAAAAATTTATTTCAGTCATTAGAAATGTACTGTCTTTACAATCAGCATGATGTTTTTAACCTATGGGGAAAATGCTAGCATTAAAATTAAACAGCAAATCCTATTCCTTTGATTTGTGCTGAACTCTACTCATTTATGTCTTTATCTGTTCCAGATTTGGCAAGATTTCCCTGTCTGGGGTCATACCCTCTTTTGAGCATTCCAGAGATATTCTGGAGAAAGGAATGCAAACTAGCTGCCAGAGATGACCCAGGGTAGTCACAACAGCTATTCATCTTCCTTTTCTCCAGGCTAAACAACCCCAGTACCCCCAGCCACTCCTCATGAAGCATTAGGCTCCAGTATCATTGCCCTTCTTTGGACACACACCTGCCTTAGTGATCTTCCCCCAGCTCTTGCCCATGGACACTCAACCCTGTCATCACCATCACCAAGCTCTAGGCAATCAAAACTCCCTAACATACAGGGCCTGCCCTTCCTTGCCAGTCCCTTTTGAAGAGTTCATAGCCATCCAGTGCAGCTATGCCAGATATCCCACCATGTTTCCAGGATGGAATCCTACACCAGTTTTCCTGCTTCACAGGGGCTTCCAGTTCTTTTTGTTTGTTGCCCGTGCCATTTGCTCTGTGTAGATGCACTTCAGCTGGGCTCTTGATCCTCACACATTTTTGAGGTGAGATCTCAGTAAAGCTTAACTTCATAACCTGTCTCACCTCAGTGCTGTAAAAGGAAATAAATGGTAGAATTACCACTTATTGAAATTGTGGAAGAAACAAGTAATTCAAACCTTAGTCCTGGAAGGCTACTGTTCTGCTTATTTTTGGCATTTGATATTGAGCCAGCAGACAGGAAACAAACTATGTGAATTAAACAGAAAAAAACCCCAAATTTCCAGAACAACGCCATGATCACTGACTTAATTGTCAGACAAAAGCTAGCCTTTAAGTTTACACTGCAGTAAATGTTGTTTTAACATTTGAAGAAAATCTGGATTAATTTCCAAAGGTATTATTGATAATGATTCCATCTGTGACCTTGAAGTATATTTGCTGCTGCAGAAGTTTGTAACAGTTTTAACAAACCACTCACTCAAGGAGAGAGTAGCCACTTGCTAGAGATGTCACAGGCATATGAGTTATGCTGAGTCAGATGAAATATCTTTGCAAAGTAAGTAAAGGGGATTTCACTCTTGTCTTTCATTCTCAAATCCCCATAAGTACCATGCTGAAATCTGTTCCCAGCCATAGGCTTCAGAAATGGGACTAAATCTTTGAGATTCTTAGAGACAGAATGAGTCCTTTTGGTGGAGCTAGATATTCAGGTAAAAGACACCCTGTATGCACATATTTCTTTATTCACAACTTAGTTCAACACTCAGCCCTAATTTTAGAGCTGCTACTACGTTTTTGCCTTCTCTTTGAAGACTCTTTTGCCAGGCAATATTTCTGCTGATGGAACAGAAACTCAGATCTCAGATGAAAGTCTCATTACTCTGAGACAAGATAGGAAGCCTGTAACTTCTTCAATAACAGACATAATATGATTCTTTCCCCTCTTTTTCCATTAAATGAATGGCATGATAATCTGCTCCCTCTTTTATTCCCTGCTTTTCTGTTTACACACCACACAAATTTATTCACAATATTAGTGGGCAGATTTTTATTTATATTCTTTACTTTCCACTTTCTTAAGGAAAGAGTTGGAAACTTCCTTTTGTTCCTTGGTTATCTGGAACTAAACCAACCAGGCTAGAGCTGAAGGAAGAGAATAAAAGACTGAAAATGTCAATGTGAGAGCAGAAGTTGTTTTACACAGAATAAATTCAGTCATAGTATAAGGACCAGCAGATGAGAAAACCTGTCTGTGTAGACTTTGTGCTTTAATAGAATTTATAATCTTTATTCTCTGTGCTTAGACCTTAATATTCACATGGGTATAATGTAGCATCAGCTGTGGAAATCCATGTTTCATACAAAAAGATTTCTCTGAGTTTTGTCTTTGGTATGAACACAACATAATCTGGGAAGCAAAATTACTGCCACCTGTTCACATATCCGTCTCTGCTTTACTGTCTGGACTTATCTGGTGTAATCAGGCCAAGAGCAGACAAACAAACGTGGACTTAACGTCAGTGAGGTGAAGCTCAGGAATCTGAGAACTGACAGAACAGGATCCTCCCCTGTGTATCCGTCCCAGCCCAGAAAGGCGTTCCCTTTTCCAGGCAGATGGCTGATCTATTGGTCTGTGCAGCTAAAACATTTTCCCATGTGCAAATATTTGCGCCTGACCAGAACAAAAGAAAAGGCACCATACCTTTGTGTACCATGGAGGTGAGAGACTGTGGGACACATCAGCACTTAAAATGCAAAAGTAACTTGATCTTGCAGAGTAAGACTGATATAGTTAGGCTTGTTTCATGTACTACACACTTTCTTGCCAAAGGCTGACACAGAGAAATTTCCAGATGCTGAGGTGTCCTCCACAGGATCAGCCAAGTCACTGATCTGCTTCCTTTTGTTTGTTCCTTTTTTCAAATGGATGTAGAGATCTACAGTACAAGTCACAAGGAAATAAATTGTCTCCATGGCAATTAAAAAGTCCAAAACTACCAGATAGAAAGGGAGGAATATTTACTTTCCCACCAGAAAATCTACATAACTTGAAGTCTATCTATTAATTCATTTTCCTTGCTGCTTAACACGCTAATGCAATTCATCACTTCCATCTTCAGTTGCTACTGTGTATTGTAAAGTAACTGTCCCCCTAGTCACTAAAAGTCCATCTATTTCAGCTGACTGTTTTCTCTTTTGAGGTATCAGATATTTGCTGATCCCTTTAGAATCAGAAAAGACATGCAAAAACTCCTGCTTCCCCTATTTTTGTACAATTAGAAAAAAAAAATCCAAATAAACAGAATCATTTTTTAGTTCATATTGCCATATCAAGAACTGCAGTTTGAAAATTCCCTATAATGCCAACTCCAGCAGACATTCACCAAGTCACCCTTGGTACAGGTCTGACATGTGAGAAGGAGAAAAGACACCATACACAGTAACTTTTCAATCTTATAAGACTCAAAAGACAGCACTCTACACAGAGTGTGTTGGTTCTTAGACCGTGTTACTGTTTTAGTAAGAACATAAAACTGTTTCAAAATGACCTGCTGTGTCTTCTGTTACCTTTCTGAGGTATCAGTCGTTATTCCTTAGCACACCCTGGCTACAGGTCCCCAGGTGATTGTTTGTAAAAGGCTGGCACACAAGAACCCACCCTGCTATTTAGCACTCAGCCAGCTGCAGAGAGACAAGTTCACGGATGTATAAAAACCACCAGCCTCATTGCTCATGTTCACACACAGGGAAGAGAACAGTGACTGCTACACCCTATAGAGAGGAATATTGCATAGGATGGAAAGAAAAGTAGGCCTTGCTCTGCTAAGGGATTTTTTGCTTCAAGCCTATAAGTTGTTGGGGTTGCAATTTTACACAGCTCCTGAGCATTTTTATCAGAGCATAAGAGCAGAAGGAGAGCATGCATCCTCCAGACCTCCACTGCTTCACTTGGAAGACAACTCCATAACCAATACATCAAATTATTATGTTATCAAACACTTTTGTATATACATTCCTACTGAGGAGCATTCTTGCCCCAATTGAAAAAATATTCCCTTGTGAACTCAATGACTTAGTTCTCAGTAATTCATATACTCTTGACCTTGACAATAAAAATTTAAAAAAAATAAATTAAAAAAAAAATTCCTAAATCCCATAATAAATTCCCAAAAGGGAATTCAAAGACTCAGAGAAGCAGTTACCTTGGACCTGGAGATTAAATCTTTCCTTCTTTGGAAAAACACCCTTTCTTATTTACCTACCAAACAAATTAATACAGAGGGAGTCATAGTCCAGTAAAAATGTATTATGGGTTGTCCTGCATTCTTGGACTAAAGATATGAGATGCAGAACAACTCCATTAAAGAGAAATAAACCTTTAACATTTGTTTGTTTGGTTGATGCTTATAAAAGCCAAGAAACAGCTTTGTGGACATCTCATGGAGAATTTTAAATGAATAAGCATTATTTAATACATTATTTCTAGAAGGCAACAGTGCAAATGTGAACTTTTCTGAAACCTTTATGTGGTAGCCACTTTATTAACACCAAGTATGACCACTGGGGATACCTCCAGGCTGCCTTTCCTGACCAAATGTGTTGACTGCACAGATGGTGAGCTGAGCTTGTACAGCCCCAGGTACAGCTGTAGGGCATCTCTGGAGCACAAAGGACCAAACACCTTAAGCACTGGGCAAAGCTGTATCCACAGACACCTGCCTGAAGCATTAAAGAGACTGACAGCTCCTTCGGTAATTTATCCTGAACTGAGTTGCAGGAGCTGAGGATGTTTAGTTTTCCATATATTTATACAGAAGGACCAAAAACACAAGCAGGTTAAGATCATACAAAAAGCATGTAGCAGGTCAAAGAACTGGGGGTGCCTTTATCCAGCTAATGGCAAAAATCACCAACTAATTAGCACTGCCTCTTTCTGACTGTGGAATCTGTTTTATCAGTCATTTGAAATCCTGGAATTAAGGGAGAAAATGCATTGTGCTAAGACAAATGAGAGCATCCACAATTTTGTAACAGACATGTAAACCATAAAACTTTTCCTTCCTGCACCAAAACAAATCAAAGGATACGTGTCCTTTGAGAGGATGACTCACCGAGTTAGCTAAAGAAAAGCCTTCCTGCTCTATAGTTTCATAACATGGTCTTCTGAGCCATAAACCTAGGAGCAACAATGTCTTTGAAAAAGGGTGAATTCCTAAATACTTTTGGTAAACATAATTCCACAGAACATAATCCTTACAGTGCTAGAGCGGTTTTAGTAGCTACCATGTCTCCAGGTAAGGCTGAAATTCATATAAAGAAGAAACTGTGGTTCCAAGTCTGACAATAGCAAGCACTGCCAGTGCCAGAAAACACTTTGGCATTACACTATATGTATATTTTAGTCATGGAGGCTCAATATGTTTGTGGCAGTATGCTGCTAAATGAT